TCTTGCTCTTGTCTCCTGCCTAAACCTGCAGTTTCCAAAATAGGCCATGCTTTTGCATAGACCTGGAACACCCTTCTTCCACCAATTTGTGGCTAACTTCAACATCAGTTCCTAAAATAAGAAGTACTTTCTGATTCACACTTGCTGATCCCTGCCCCATCCCAGGATCCACTGCTCACTCTACCCTCACCAGCCCCAGGCTTCATTGCATGCCCACTTCCCTGTTTTGATAGCTCTTTATGTTTATCCCTTTTTGGAGCATTTGAACTTGGGATTATGTTTGTCTATTTCTCCACCTTAGTATGAGCAACCTGAGAGATAGGACTGTGTCTTTTTCTTCTTTATATGCCCATTTCTTAGCCCAGTATTTAGAAACCAACAGACACTTCCTACATGCTGGTTGAATGCATACATAAAAGAATAAACAGGCAAATGAATTGGAAGATGCTGTGAAGGAGGCTACGGCGGTAGGTTTGACAGCCTGTGTTGGCTGAACTGAACTGATAATTTTGCCCTGTCCACAGCCTCAGACTGTCCCCCACAAACCTGCCAACCACAAACTCACTTCTGGGGAAAAAAATCTAAGTGCTAGTGGCCAGAGGTGGTCTCACTTTTGCTTCTATGGGGCAGCACACTTTGCTCTGCAGTAGCAGAGAGACCTGCCACGGCTGTTCTCAGAGAGAAACACTGACATTATGGCTTCAGTCCTGATGCTAAGACCATAATAGTGGGCAGTGAGCAGACACTCTCCAAACCCATTAACTTGGACGATTTTGAAGGCTGCATCCAAGAACACAAAACAAGTAAGTGTCAGGGCAGGGACAGAAAAAGTCTCTTCCTTCACTCCCGGCTGGCTGGGGGCTGTTTGCACTGTGTGTCATGTAGCACACTTCGCTCTACTCAGCATTCAGCCTCCGGATGCCCAAGGCAAACCAATTTCTGAGCAATTCTGGAGAGTGCCCTGGTCCTGTTGATCTCACAATTACATCTAGAAACACTTAACCATGAGACATTTCAGGGTACCAATCACTTGGCATTGCTTTCCTCTTAACTTGGTAATCACTGCAGCCTGTACTAGAAAAAAAAAATGCCTCTTTGTCAGGCCAGGCTCTAGTTATTGCACCAAAGAAAAGAAAAGCCTCCCAGCTTTGCTCTTGGCTCTAACATGTCTGCTTTGGGAAAAATTACTGGAATGATCTATGTTAGAGTTAAAGGTGAGTTTCCAATGATATTAGATAGTATGACATCCAGAGAGCTAGGGATGCCCGAAATCTGCCCTGGCCATCTCCTAAAAATGTGTGAAGCCACAGTAGACATGCAGTGAACACTGCAGAACAGGAATCAGTGTATTCTTTATTAATAGCTAAGCCCAAATCCAGTAACCCCCAAAGCAGAACTTCATGGTAAAAACTGGAACACTGGCTTAAACTCAAAGATAAATAGAGTCTCTTATCCCCTCTCACCCAATCTAAATTTGGGGACCAGCCCATTCAAGACATATCTACTGGGAAGAAGAGAGGGAATGAAATGGAGAGAGAAGGAAAGGGAGGAAGGGAAAGAAAAGAAGGGAAGAGGGGGGAGAGAGAGAGAGAGAGAGAATGAAACCAAGACAATGTCTGTTTATCCACCTAGCCATATGGCTCTAGGCAGAGAAAGCAGACCACCAAGCCCATTGGGGTCACTGTCTGCCTTACTAATTCCACCTCTTGGCCTCTCTGAGAAGAGGAAAACATACCAGATAAAGAGTGGAGTTCAAATCCAGCCGGTCTTCAGACTCGTCTGAGGAGCTTTGGTAAAACATCATTCCCCACCACCCACCCCCCAACAGTCTGATTCAGTAGATCTACTGCAGAGCCCAGGAATCTGAATTTTAATTAAGTTCCCAGTTTGGGAACAATTAGTGAGCCTCTGCTTCCTCTCGTCTGGTGAAAAGGAATAATTTTATTGAGGACTGGTAGTGTGAGGCAAAACTTTGGCAGTATTAACAGCTGGAGGGGGGCGGAGAGGAATGGTTTCATGATAAATGTCGTGTCTTCTCCAAACGCCCAGGATCTGAAAATCCCAGCTGGATGAGCAAAAAGCTTGTTGATTTTCTTTCCATTAATGCCACAGACTAAATTACAGTAAATCAAATGCATAAATAACCAGGTGACCTTGCAATTTGTCAAAGGTAAGACAAGTGCACCAGCAACTATGCATCAGCCACCTCCCCACCCCTCTACCTGCCCACATCCCCCCCTCTACCCCATCCTACCTCCCCACCCCTCTATCCCCTCCCACCTCCCCACCCCTCTACCCCTTCCCACCTCCCAACCCCTC